GTAACCACTGGTCCTACGCTTTCATTCAATTATTTTATCTATTTTATGCTATGCTTCTTCCACTGAAGGAACTGTACATCACAAGATCTTTGATAATTCATCAGAGACTTATTATAAAATTTTAGCATAACTTCAAGTAAACTTAATATAAAGTCACCAGACTTGAAAAGTTAATAGCGGACAGAAGTCCAACTTACAGTGCGTGTCATATGATGACGTCATAAACGATGACGTCACATCATATTCTTTATTTTAAACTCGTAAATTCCAACATTTTCTACTGTTTTCGAAAGATAGAAACAAGAGTAGTTGAGAACTGAAAACCGTTTGTTGAAATCTTAAATATTAGTATAGATAATCATGCGGTTTCGAGTTCAATTTGGAATTAATTTGCACGAGTGAGCTTTTTAAAAAACTCACAAGTGCAAATTAATTCCAAATTGAACGAGAAAAACGGTATGATTACTTATTAATAATATAAACATGAAAAAATTCGCGTGGAGGAAATGCCAGAAAATCTTTCTTGAAACCATTTTTTCTCATTCGAGAAAACTTTTTTCAATTAAATTTTCCGCACTAAATTTTCGTCATCATTTTATGTGATATCATTGGCTTAGAAAATTTCCTATTTTCTTTTAGCCAATCACAATCTAGAATTGCGATGCTTAATTTGCACTGGTGTTACACTTTTTGCACTGGTGTTACACTTGACCTGCACTGCTCTCAGCCAATCAGAATCGAGTAATTTTTTCATGTATATTATTAAAGGAGATATGACCATTAAAGTTTCAAAGAATGTTCAGGCCAAAAAAACTGGCCCCCCCTAATAATAATTTTGAATTTTAAGTTCTGTTTTCGAATTTGCTACTTAATTGCAGATGAATTGCCTTGGATGAGCAGAACAGGAATATTTTAAAAAAAAGTGAATCAAAGCTATTCAAGCAAGAAAAACATATCTTATGATCGGTTATTCAAGAGATCAAGTTATCCTTTTAAAAGCGAAAACAAAACAAATCCAAAACGATACGATTTTTAGGGACACTAAGTTCTTTATTTTACCGAATTTGTAGCATTTTTCAATGAAAACTGGAGAAAATAAACCAATAGGACTGATTTTAAATAAACAATATAGTTCCGGGTGGGCACTGAAATATCTTTAATTGTTATAAATCCAAAAAAATATTTCTCATATTGAGAAACGGTTTTCTGTACATTATGCCACTGGTCATGCCCGTTCGAATGATGTATTTTGTGGTATGAAATTATAAACTTCAAAGATCATGTGTATGTGACGTCATCAAATATGACGTCATAATTTGACATTTTGGCGCATTTTTTAAAACTGCTATGATCAAGACAGGTACATGAATCTGTGTACATGAAGTATGGGTTATTGACTAAGTGTGAGATCAAGATGGCTGAATATTGGCCAAGTTCTTTTTTTGCGTGTATATGGATCAAGACGGAGTCGAGGTCCATAAACTAGCAAAAAAAGAACGAGGCCAATATCCAGCCATCTTGACCGAACAAGCTTGGTCAATAAAAGATTTATTATATGGCTTTCGGGAAACTTTTTTGCGGGACGCGGCGGGTAGTCCCGAGCGGGCAAGATAGCTTAATCTTGCCCGCTCGGGTAGCCAATTACAGTGCAGGATTTGATTCATCTTGCCCGCTCACGGAGCTAGCCATATAATAATTTGTATTTTTAACCTGATATCATTTATACAGGGCCCCTATGAATACCAGCCTTTCAGCTGAACGGGCTACCTTGTTTAAATAAAGTTTTACTTGTACTTTTTCAAGGGTGCGAGAAAGTTTGGCGAAAAACGAAGCAAAGTTAGTGTTCTTAGACGTACTTAGCGTTTTAAGGGGCGTAAATCCCCAGTGTGAGGTGCTACGAAAGTTTAATGAATCAAATGAAACCGCTTTAATGTATGAGCCAAGTGCCAAACCGTTACGAGCCGAAAACTTGAGCTCTATTTTTATTTTGATTCCCTTGCTTCAAGCGTATCGATTGCGTATGAAGATTTGATGGATTTTAGAGAAACTTAGCTCAAGTGTTACTCATTTACCAATGCGCCAATCTGTGTGAGACTCTTTTGATATTCTTAATACTACTTCTTTTACACTTCCTAAAGCGAGGAAGATTGGAAAATATTCTACTCGCCAAGTTCAAAATAGATTTTCTCAGCAACCAATAAAAATATCGAAAAAGCCTGACACACTTTTATATTCCATCACGTGCTGATTAACATTACGCGCTTTTCACTTTTTGGGATAACCTGTCTGAAAACAGCTGTATATTTTATTCCATGTATGCAGCGTCCACAATTTCCTTTAGGCGGACTTGCATCAATATCGTTAGAAGAAAAACATATATTAAAAAAAAAAATGCAAACTTGCGAGCTATTCAAAAGAGTTAACCGAGGAGAAATCAAAAGTATATCATTGTGAAGGTGAGGAGCTCTTTTTTTAAGTAATCGAGATAAAATTGTAGCCAATCTCTATACGGCAATAATATTATCGATTATAATCCATCGAATATTTTCACTTGCGCGCGATTGGTTTAAACGCATCACGTGACTGAATATTCCCAAGCTAAAACTGAGGAACTTAGAGATATTTCCAAAACCGCGATTGTTGCGAAAAATATTTGAAGAATAATGAACACAATGGCCTCCATTTGGGGCAAAAGTATATTCAGATATTTGTCCTTGGACATTATCTGTTCCTCAAAGTTCACAGTTCTCCGATAACCATAAAAGGAAAATGACGCCGCGCTATTGTCTACCTAAAATTCAAACCCAAAGTTTGATACGCTCGAGCTACGCTCTTGGAAAACTGTAAGCTTCCCGGAACAGATAATGTCGGCAGACAAATATCCGAACACATCTTCGCGCCAAATGGAGGCTATTGTTTGTTTTTCATGAAAAACTGATATTCTTGTCTGTAAAAAAAAAAGTGATATTGAACACGCTTTTTTCGGGTTTAGCATATGATACATTCAATAGAATTCAATAATGTTTTGAAGATTTTCTATAAATAATCCATTTATTGCGTTTGTAACGTACAGCGAGCTAATATACAGTTAGCTGAATCGAAATGTATCGAGGACCAGCTACCAGAACGGATTGAAATATATTAGCCTACTGCAATGTTCCAACTTTTTTAAACTCATTGTTAACCAATGTTCGAATACTCGCCAAATAGCTACGCCTAGCTAGTTCACAGGCATGCTACTTCAACTGAAGGAAACAAAAACTTCAACTAAACATATTAGGCTTAAAAATCCCGTCAGCTGGCGGGAGGCAGACCAGTCAGCTATTGGCTACAACACGGAAGCTACCGCAAGCTATTATGCTTGTGGTACCGGCTATAGCTAATTATAATTTTAATCGACCCAAAATTTTCAGTTGTTTGGGAGTCCATCTTAATTTATAATAATTCTCCATTTTTGTTGGCTTATATTGTAAATTCGTTTTACATTGTCGAGTGTTTTAGCTCTGGAGATTGGGTAACCACTACCTACGTTTACTACAGTAAATAATTTTATCGATACTATCCTGCTTACAACACTACTGGAGGGGCTGCACCGCCATTAGTCGGCGCAAGGTATTTTATAATTCATCAGAGACTAATTATAGAAATCCTGATTGTTAGTTCGTCACGCAGGGGAACATCGGCTGTCTTCGTGCTTTTAACTTTTTTACTCCTTTTCACGGCTCAGAAAGAAAAATTTCCGCATAAATAATTAATTTCCTTTTACATGCGCCACACTGTGTGAGACTCTTTTGATATTCCTAACACTGCTCCTTTTACACTTCCTCAAGCGGGGAAGATTGGCAAATATTCTATTCGCTAAGTTCAAAATAGATTTCCTCAGCAACCAATAAGAATATCGAAAAAGCCTGCCTGCTGATTGACATTGTGCAGTTTGTTTGATCGTACGTGCTCACAAAATAGCAGGTAGTTCAGTTAAGCAAACATAGTCAGTTTGCTTTTGAAAACTTACGCACATAGACTGACTCTACATTTTATTAACTCTATGGTGATATGTACTTTATCTATGATGTCAGTATAATCAACGCGCATACGAATGATTTTTCCGAGGGAGACACTCCTGAAGGTCTACAGTAACTTCACAAGTTTGCCAGTAACTCAGAAATAGCTCTGGATCGATAAATGTTATTGTAAAAGCTTTCAAATTTAAATATATTATTACACCGCAGCTGGGAAGCTGTTTAACTACGAAACATATAGCCATAGCCCGGGTTGAATCACGTTTTGTCAATACAACACCAACATAGGAGCTCATATCAGTTTCCGTTTAAAAATAAGAAAATGACGTTATCAAGTCATTCTGCCATGATCGCGCTAAAAGCAGAAAATTTATGAAATATGCATGGACTTCCCTTTTCAACCTGCTGAACGAAAAAACAAACGCAATAATGGAACAATAGTTCAGAGGCTCAATGTCAAATAATTAAGATGTATAGCTTTTCTGTTTGTTATACAGAACAACAGTTTAGTAAAGATTTTCTCTTTTTAGTACTCAACTGTTTCGACAAAGATTATCCCACGAAAGCCTAAACGCGTGTGCGACAATCTCGACTGGCATCATGGGTAGTGATTGTTTATCGTTGCTTGCACGTTTGAAGTTCTCGGAAATTCGGCAAGAGGGAAGGGGGGGGGGGGCATGAATACACGTTTTTGTGGTGTTTCCTTCTATCACGCTGAAACACCTTGAGCTTCAGTCAATCACCATTACCCATAACACCGTTGGGCATTGATTCGTACGCTTATACGCTTTTAATTTACGGGACCTGTCTTAAAACAGCTGTATACTTAGTAGTTCAGCGTCTAAAATTTCCTTTAGGCGGACGTGCATCCATATCTTAAGAAGAAATAATATATATTTAAAATACTGCAAGCTGTTGAGCTCTTCAAAAGACTTACCCGAAGAGAAATCAACAGTAGGCCATTGTAAAGGTGAGAAGCTCTTCTTTTAAGTAATCGCGATAACATTGTAGCCAATCTATGCTTCAAAAATATTATCGAATTTAATCTTTTCAATACACATGCAGCTTCTAATAAGCAAAATGTTGATTTTGGCCGATGTCTCTCCAGCCTGTCATATCTTTTAACGCAGCGAACATTTCAAGTTAGACCAATGCTCGAATGCTCGCCAAATAGCTACTCGAACAATTACTTAGCAATTTTTCGAGTTGTATGTGTGAGGGCAAATTTCACTCCTTCGCTCCTTTCTTCTCCCCTCCTCTGCTTACTCCATTTCCTGTGAGACGTTTTTAAATCCGCTGAGCAGAGTGCAAAAGTTGAAGTTCAAATGATTCGCTTTTGAAGGAGGCAACTTTATTAGTCTTTATATCACTTAGTTTTTTATTAGATGCAACTTCAGTTGAAAAGTAAGGTTGCTGACAATTACCCCCGAAATAACCATAAGGCCGGTTCGTCAGTTTACAAATTGACTATCAGATTCTAATTTTGGTCGGACGTACACAAAACAAACAAAATATAAAATATATCAGAAAGAAAAGAAAAAGAGAGGCGAAAACCATACAAGTTAAAAGAGGAGAAATATCAGATAAATATAATTATCAGATAGTGAGACGTTGAAAAACTGTGATATTATCTCAATTTGTAATATTTGGAGAATTGAATACTAGCTTTGGCGAAAGCTCTGTTTCAGTTTATCTTGAAACTGACAGGTGCTTTAAAATATCATAATCAATAGCATTGCGGATATTAAATTTTCCATTATTATTTCTGGCCTTGGGAAGATTAAGACGGTTGTAACTTGCTGCAGAAGGACTTGAAGGTAAAAGGTGGCAATTCAGATCGAAGTTGTCGGGTTGGGTGGAGGTAACTCACCAAGGATTCGCCTTAAAGGCGATGTTTTTCTTCAAGAAGCTGAATAGCTGAACAGCTCGATTAAACGGGGACCACAGGCTACTATACAAATATGGACTCACATAATTCGGTTGAAGGGGAAAACTTTCACGGTTCTTTCTTTGCACTGAATAAACCTACATAGGATGTAGGTAATAAAACAGGGCAAAACGAAAGAATTTATGACCGGCAAAAACCGTTGGTTGCCTTTACTATACTGACAGGAGGTGATACTGTTTTACCTGCATTATAATATTTTTGTTCGCTTTACATACACCTGCGTAATTAAAGCTAGGACTTGATATATATAGCCTCAGTACTTAGTCTTTTGTTTTGATGGCTTGCCTTCTTAATGTTATGGGTAGTTTCTATTTTTAGTCGACTAGATGTTGTATAAAAAATTTATGACGTTTCCTAAAAAAAATTAGGATGCTTTCTTACGTAAAATTGCAAAGAAAATACGGACTTGCCGTGATTTGCTAGTTAACACACGCGGCCGAAATAGCATATTATAATTTGGCGACAATACGCAATCTGTTGCGTGTGATCGATCCTCGCCAATTAAATTGTGTTTTTTTAATTTCTCCGAAGATGCCCCAAATTTTACCTAGCGATACTAGATTTGGTAACACCAAATTTTATCCTGCGACAGACATCACATTCGGCAATATCAGACTTAGTCTAGCGACATCATCAAATTTTATCTAGCGACACTAAATTCGCCAATGCAACACCAAATTCTATCTCAGGAAATCCTTTTCGTCAGCGTCAAATTCTATCCTGTGACATCAAATTTGGCAAAACCGAATTCGTAAATATTAAATTCTATTCATTAACATTAAATCTGACAGCACAAAAACTACACAAAAATGAATCCTACAACTTCAAGTCCAAGTAGGTCTTGTTCGACGTATCTGGGGCGCTTTCCATTATACCAAAATTCCGAAAATTTCGAAACATGGAGACAGATGCTTAAAATAAGAAAAACTTACCAACATAAATTAAAGCAAACTCCTGTTTGCGAAAGCTAGTCGAAAAGATCCCCAACCCATGCCACCTTAATGACTGTGATTGTTCAATGTTTTATCAACAGGAAACTCGTTTGAACACTGTTACAACCCAAGCCGTGAAGCGATAGAAGAGGCTATTTTCCTGAAAAGCCTGAGATTGGACCAAATATTATCAAGAATAAAATGGCAAACTTAACAGGAAAGTTAAACCACACCACAATTCAAGAATGGTCTTGCGCGACACGTCGTTATGGGATTGATGAAAAAATATTTATTGTAGCGTTAAATATTCTTCTATCTCCCACTGCATTTCTGGGGAACATCCTGATCGTTGTTGCTCTTCAAAAGGTGTCCACTTCCCTTCACTTACCATCCAGACTTCTGTTTCGTTGCCTTGCGGTCACCGATCTCTGTGTGGGACTTACTGCACAACCTTTAATCGTCAGCTATTTAATGTCTGCAGACAATTCCAAACGTTGTTACTATTTTAGGATCCTTTTCTATACAATAGGTGGATATTTTTCTGCTGTGTCGTGCTTAACACTAGCAGCAATAAGTATAGATAGACTGCTCGCTCTGTTGTTTGGCCTAAGATACAGACAGGTAGTGACTTTGAGAAGGGCACGGGTTGTTGTGATGATTTGTTGGTTTTGCTGCGGCTCTGTTGTAGTCGTATTTATTTATAGCGAACACATCGCTCAAGCCTTCACATCTTTAATTCTGTTACTGTGTGTCGTAGCCTCAACCTTCTGTTACACGAAAATTTATCTTAAACTTCGACATCAACAAAATCAAGTACAGGACTTTGTTCATCGAGGACGAACGAAAAAAGGAGGCACACCACTGAATATAGCTCGATATAAAAAGACTGTGTCCAGTGCATTGTGGTTGCAAATGACATTAGTTGTTTGTTATCTTCCATTTGGTATAGCCGTTACCATATTTGCCATTACTGGATTGTCTACGCCATCTTTTGACTTCACTTGGGATGTATCGTTATCTTGTCTTTTGTTTAACTCAACTTTGAACCCATTTCTGTATTGCTGGAAGATGAAGGAAGTAAGACAATCAGTGAGGAACACTATAAAAAATATCTGCTGCTCGTGAAGTTAACTGCGGCCTGATACTGAATCAACAGCAGTTTATAATCGAACCTTTCTTTATGGACACCTCCATAATGGGACAGCTCTAGACAGTTCGTTTGTTCCCATGAAAACCAGAATTCAGACTCAGAGCCTCTGTATAGCAGGGTTAAAAAATACATTGAAATGTAGCTGACAAAAAATGTTAACCTACTACTACAGGGGCAACAAGTTAATGAGCCAGTGGCAATGCAAACGTCGGGTTTGCATGCAGTCGTTTGACGATTCAGTAAGGCCATTTCCAAGAATGTTGACCGGATTTCTCCCACCACATCATGTCAACCCATTGAAACCTCTTTATCACAAACGCAAAACTGGGCAGAACTTAAGTAATGTCGTAATTATGAAGGTTTTAGTATTTAAGAGATATATAATCTATGAACGGTGGTTCCTCTGGCACTAAGTAAACAGTAGTCTAAGTATCGTTATGTGAGAACCAGCACTCTGAGGGCAGCTGAAAGGTCATCAGAATTGATGAAATGATCGACTTGGGTACATAACAGTTTGCATACATGACGATATTGTCATTTTAAAATGGTATAGCCATCAGTTACGAGAATAAAGGAGGAAAGACAATAAGATTTTACAATTGGAAGTTGGCTGCAAAAATAGTAATATTCAGAAGAATTTTCCCAGACATTTGTTTCGAAAAGGTAACTAAATTTGCACACTTGAAAGGTTGTAAAGCTAAGTGATGCTTTGAATGTACATTGTATTTGGAATTTATATGTCGTGTTAGTACATGATCAATCATTCAAGTTAAGCATGGAAGAATAAAAAAGTTGTAACAAATGCAAGTAAGGATTCAAATCACGTTGGTCTTTGATTTCTTATTGCTGGTTTTTACTGTCATGCCATTAAAAATAAAAAAAGTAACCGCTCAATAAATGAAGTCAAGATTTAGATTTGTGCTGTTTTTGCTATACGCACCTTATTTGGCAAAAACAGTTTCAACTAAATTCATAGTGCTTGGTATGGGGAGGCCATGTTGGTGTACCTTGGAGGGGCACAAATATGGCGGCCGTGAAGTAACAGAAAATACGTTTTGCCATTTAAACGAAAAGTTATCACTCTAGAGCTCCTAATGCAAGGGCCGTTCATTTAGAAAAAACGTGGACGATAGGTCATCTTTGACATACGCCACAGCCGTCCGGGTCTCCATTTTCCGCTACGCAGAAACTTGGAAATATTCAAACATGCTCTATTAGGAAACGAAGAGCCCTGTCAAGCTTAAACTTTATAAAACCTCAAGTTCTTATTAACTAGAGGGTCGTTATGTCTAAAGAAACTAAACCTTTGTTGATTTTGACTGTGGAATATGACAACGTCCCATGAAAACCGGGAACTGGCCACAGTACAAGTAAAAGCCAATTTACAGGGCTTTTTCTAGACCATCACCCACCCCAGGTGATAGTTGTTTTTTCGTTCAATAGTGCCTCCATGTCCTTGGTATCCCTTGTTTGTCCCGGGTCTAGAGGGTGGAGATTTCCATTGAAAGTTGCATTATTTCAATAAACTTAAACGAAACAATACTGATCAAAGGCCTTAACGTCTCAGGCTTTGATTTCAGAACTGCTAAAGTTGTGTGCATAACTGCGACAATCAATATGTCTTCATAAAATTACTGACTTGCAGTTCGCGACGCACAGGTGCCACGGAAGGTGACCGTATGGAGCTTAATTTAAGTTAAGCTAAGTTACTTTTTACCCGGCCGGCGTTCAATCGCTGGGTACGATATTAAAACAAGAAGTAAAAGTAATAATATAACAAGTATATAACTGGATATTTATTTTTCTTCACGTTTTTTGTGTCATATGATTACTCTTCAAGTGTTTACTAACGTTATTGGCAGACATTATATTCATCGTTATAATCTATCAAATATTTCTTTTGCACGCGATTGCTCTAAACGCGTGACGTAGTAGAGCATGTCTCAGAGAAAACTAGGGAATATCCACGTGACTTTCCCAAATTCCGAGTGTTGCGAAAAATATTTGAAGGGCAATAAGCACAATAGCCCCCATTTGACTTTAAAAATGTGTTCGGATATTTCTCCTTGGACATTATCTGAAAGCTTACAGTTTTCCGAGAGCTTTGCTCTCGGAAAACTGTTCGCTTCTCGAAACTGATCATGCCCAAGAGCGAATATGCGACCATCGTTTTGCCCCAAATGGAAGTTACTGTTTGTGGAAGCTTACTGCTTGTCATGTTCCAGTAACGCAGAGAACATTCTGAATAAGACGAATATTCGAGTGTTCGCCAAATAGCTTTTTTAGTGGTTATTTCAGTGTTACTATTCACCTCTGAGCAAACGGAGAGTAACAAAATGGCTTCCCGTTTCCCTTCGGTTACCGAGAAGCAAATTTTATTGAAAACGAGGCAGCTGTTCCGAACAATAAAAAAATGGCCGCAATTAAAGTTTGGTTTGACTGTATTTAATGGTTGGTTGCTTAATCTCTCAGAACTCAAATTTTAAGGCATAAAAAGGTACAATGCCTTGTTTACGTGAACTTATATGAGTAAAAGAAATTAAACGTTTACTGTTTTGCGGCATGGTTTTAACAGCAAGAAAAAAAAGAAAACAACTGGGTCATTTTTTTTTAGCTTTATCGAAACAACGTCGAAACACATATCCAACAAAAAGTAATCTTAAAATATTACGGATTGTCAGTTCGTCGGGTACTGGACTGCTGGCTGAAGCAGGGATTATAAGGCTATACTATTCAGACTAGAATGGATTGGGGGACCAGGCTAGGCATGAGTGCGGCACTCGCACTTGACTGACCCTAAGAGAAAAGGCCGGCTGCCAGCTGCCTAGCTGTACACAGGTGCCAAGGAAGTTAAATTTAATAGACTTGTCGTCATTTATTTGGTTGTTTTGCCATGTTGAATATCAGAAGGAGACACAACAAGGCTTATCTCTCCCGTGAGGAGTTTAACTGAAGTCACTGTTCTTCCCAGCGTCCAGTCTCTGGATATATAATTCAACAAGAACAACAAGAACAACAAGAACAACAAAAAACAGGTAAACTTGGAATATTTTTCTCCAAGTTTTTTTTCTGTCTAATTACTACATTATAATATATTTAGAAATAAGATGCACCACGGACTTTAATGTAATTGATATGTAAAGTGGGCATTAATTGTCGCTGAGAAAAAAGCCTGACTTAATTAGGGTGGTCGAACACAGTTTTTTGATACTTGTGTTTCATTCACCTTTTTTCTCTAATACCCTTGATTCTTTGGTCACCAAAAATGGCAACACGCAAGTTAACCAAACAAATTTCGTTTTCTTTTTTATATAAGCTGGCGTATGTGCTGTTGCCATGTCAACAGAAATAAAATATAAACAGGCCTTAAAAACTATAATGAGTAGTTCTGGAGAAATTAGCCTCTTCCATGCGTTCAGTTATTTGGGGCGCAACGGTAAAAACGGGGAGCGAAAAAACAGGAGAGAAGCGCGGCGAGAGAAAGCGATAAAACAAAAGGTTGTTCCTGTATACCAGAATCTGGTATACCCTCTGATTGGTTCATTTTGACAGGTTTTGTCGACACTCTAGCGTTACTGACGCACATGGGAAATGCGAGGTGGCAACGGTCAGTGTAAAATGGGGTTGACGGGCCTCCACGACTCCTACAGTTCGTGAGATTTGTACATTTGCCGCTCTCTTTTCGGTCTCTCGACCTTTCTTTGCTTCACACGTGATCATGAAGGGTACTTTATATTGTGTTATTAAGGCCCGACTGTTTGCCTAGAACATTTTGCAAGTACAGTATATTGCTTCTTATCACGGATATCATATTTATCTTCGTCACATTTTTCTCGTACAAAATCGTCGATAAAGAACGCTGTGTTTTCCAGTAGATTCCTGTCGATTTCCAGAGTACGTGTTAGCAAGCGTCGCGGAAGGAGTATCTCCAGTCGGCGTTCTAATAAGGGGGTGAATAGGGGTATGCAAACCCGCCGCTCCGTGTCTTTTTTTCACCAAATCCGTTGATCCGCCAATATTTTTGTTCAAATCCGAAACCACAAACACATATGTAAACAGAAGTGTAAAAGGTCAAAGGTAAACTGGTAAATGTGAATGCCATTGTTGATTTCGCACAAATAGTAAAGAATAAGGCAGCATGCTTGATGACTATAACACAGTGAAATTCCAATAACAGTCTCACACCTGAGTTTAAATGAGCTCCGTTTGAAAAAAAGAAATAATTTGGATGAACTCATTAACATACCCACCAAGGCTGAAGAAAGATCTATGTTCCAAATTTCATTTAGGACCCAAGATCCGAACATCAAGGTAGGCACAATCCGGAATCCGGCCCAATATTCAGAGCTGATCCAAGATCCACTGTGTTTTCAAAATCCGCGAATCCGCTCAATTTACCCCCAAAATCCACAATCCGTGCGCTTTTTAATCTCTTTCTTCAATCCCCGAGAATAATTTCTCAACACATCTGCTGACAACTGAAAACCACAAGACGGCGTTCATGTTACTGGTCCCTGTAAGCGGTCTATAAGTGGGTGAAAGAACCTTTTTTAAGTTTGCCCACAGGCGTTCTTTCGCTTTCTCTCGCCGCGCTTCTCCCCTATTTTTTTTGCTCGCCGTTTTTCGCTTTGCGCCCGAACTAATTGAACGCCTGGAAGATGGTATCAAGAAATAGGCGTATTTCCGAGAGAGCTATTCCGCATTCAATCGCAATTTTCTGACTTACTACGCATGCGCTGTATTTCACTGGGTTCTTCGTTAACAAAGAAAAATCTGGGAATTGTTGGGTTCTTTGCATCGTTACGTTTTCTAACATACCTTTTTAAGAAAAGACAAACAGTTATTAAATACACTGTGCTCAATAATGAACAAAAATAACACTTATAGCGCAGGCATCGAGCAAATAAACTGATCGCTGTATCAACACCATGTTTGTTTTTGTAATCCAAACATCCGGATATTTTTTGAATATTTGGAAGTTTCCGAGATATTTAGAAAATATTAAAATATTTAGAAAAGGCTAGGTGAACATTGGTCAATATTCACCGAGACGAAGTCGAGATGAATATTCACCAATGTTCACTGAGCCTGAGGCGAATAATTGTTTTAGTATAATTTTCAGAGGTGAATATCAAGGTCTACAAAATAACAGACTAAAACATAAAACACAGACGCAATTCTTAAAGGCCTTGAATACGAGTTTTTGAAAAGAGTTTTGGTCCAAAGGCAACAGCGGTCATTTTGAAACTTCTCCATCCTTTCAAATATCCTGCACTTGGAGTGATGTCTTTTGAATAAATGATAACTTTATTCAGCAACTGTCCGCCATGTTTACTTGTCGAGATGGCAAAGATGGCGAGCTTAGTAACCAAGCTGTAGCGGGGTGAATATAACGTCATATGATGAGCTTTTCGGACCAATCACGACAGAATGTCGAATTCTTATATTCACCTCTGGAAATTCTACTTATTAGAAATATTCATAGGTTTTTTTGGCTGAGCCCTGTGTTTCCTCGCTATTCCCTTGAAATAATGCTCAGTTTTACGCCAGAAAATTTCGGCCTAAGTGATTCAAACTCGGTGTATTTTTAAGACAAAAATAAAAGATATTCTTATTCTTAGTCTTCGAGATATTTAAAACATTTGTTGTGATATTTAGGAGGTTTTTGGAGAATTTCCGGAAAGATATATCTAGGCCATTTTACGTGATGTTTGTGGAAAGGCTTAGCTGAATCACATTAGCAACAGCGCGCGCGAAAACTGTGTTCGGCCACCTTAATACACCCTCGACTTAAGAAAATTGCGCCTTTATTAGAAGGATATATATTTTTCAGTTACAATTAAAACAGTCTTATAATAAACAACGCTGAATAATTTAAACTTGTAAATAGTGAAGTCAAACGTCAGACGCTCGTGATCGGTAAACATAACTTACAAAAACTTTCAAATTCAAATATCTTATGATACTGCAGCTGTTTGAAGCTGTTTAAGAAACATCCTCAAAACACCGGTTCACTTAAGTTTCGTCCATAGAAGACCAGCATAGGATCTCGGGTTTCTTTGCGTTCGTAAAGGTAAGAGTTCCCATTCGCAAATTAGAAAATGACATTATCAAGTCATTCTGCTAATGATTGCGCTGAAAGATAGAAATTTATGAAATGTGGACCTCTTCTTTTCCTCCTGCTGGTGAACGGAAAAAAAAACCCCGAAAGATTATGAAACAACAATTAAAAGCCAATACTGGTGGTCCTGTTGATACAACTAAGCTGGCAGAGTCGCTATACCTATGACTAGCTTCAGCTTTTTTGCTTTACATGTGACAGTTTCAGTATGATTTGATTTCCGGGAATTGCAAGGAAACCGGATAAGCTAAATTTTCGCTAAAGTAAATAACAGAAAAACCGTCTCGATAGATCCGTCAACTGTTGGGTCAGTTATTTCTTGAAGGCGCTGTATTTATTGGAGATCGTTTATACTATTACAGTAGGGGTATGGTATGGTCCTTGCGAGCATTTGCGAGCATGCGAACAGTGCGTTTATTTTTCCAAGCACGAGCAGTGATCAAATTTGCCTTGCGAGCAGCGAGCACTTTAGAAAAAACCAGATGGTGAGCAGCGAGCGCTTTGGAAATTATTCTCTAGTCGGAATCTTTTTTCAGGAAACGTTGTTTTGCGCCAAGTAATCTGGCTGACACCTCCAAAACAGGAAAATAGGCGCAAAGCTACAGGTAACATATACGTGTTAAGATCTTATGCGGTTCAACCAATCCTAGCAGCCACAGCCAATTATACCTTGCTTGATGCTGTTTGATGCCAAATTACGTCACGTATCTTCACATGAGTCAGTGGGTGGACGCTCAAGGAGATCTTACAAGCACGTAGGGTAACTGCAGCACTAGAGTTACCCTACCAAGAGGTTCAAAGACAGCCTGCAATTACAAGCGAAATTTTTCCTGTAGGATTTACCCTATTACCCGAGACAACATTGGAAGGTCACATTTGACACTCTTTTTTTT